TGGGCCACTAAGTAAGGGCCTCCAAAGACTTCCAGTCCAGTAGGAAGACGATGTCCACGGGCCGCTGCGTGCACTGTGCCACGGAGAGCTCTGCGGGGAGACGCGGGTGCGGGCTGGGCGGAGGGGAGGCTGGCAGGACCGGGCAGGAGCCAGGCCTGCACCTGCGCCCCTCCACTCGCACCCCACCTGCTGACCCCACAGACCGCTGGGCTCTGCGGGGGCATTTCTGCAGGGCAGCCCTGGGTGTGGGTCCTCAGCCCAAGCCCCTTTGAATGGGTACTGGCGGGAGCCACTGTCTCTTCTGGTGCTCCCAAGCCTGAGACCCTGACGCAGGCCCCAGGTCCTGTCTGCCTGCTGAGTGCCATCCCCACCCGGGCTGCCCTCCTGGTGGCGGCCTGTATCTGCATCTTTTTGTGGCTCAAGAATTTGCTGTCCACAAAAAGGCCACTATCTGTGTGGTGTGGGAGGGACTTCAGGAGGACCCCGGCCCTGACACCCCCAGCCTGAGCCCTCGCTGGCTAGGTCCTAGAGCTGCTCAGAACCCCTAGAGCTGGCCAGGCCATGTCCCTCCCAGGAAGACCAGGAGCCCCTGACCCTTCTGATTGGCCATGGTGGGGGGCAGTGGATACAGGGGCAGCCAGACCTTCTGCGGCCACCCAGGTGGGCTCTGCCCTGACTCCTGTTACCAAGAGGGGCCCCCACCTGCCTGGGTGGTCACCAGCCCTGGGCATCCTGGACAGCTTGGGGGCCTAGCCACAGCCCAGGCCATCCACCACACGTGGGTGTCACGTGGGGTCAGGGACCACAGGACGGGACACGGACAGTCCACATGCTTGGACCTGGCCCTGCGGCCTCGCCAGGACCTCAGCTCCTGGGACGGGGGAGGGGAGGGACACAGCCAGTTTCCCCAAGGGTGTCTGCTCCTCGGCCCAACCCCTGGATGTTGTCACAGCTGGTACATGAACCCCCAGGAATCCCTCAGGAGCAGGGTCCTGACCCCAGGAATGCACACGGAGGACACTGACCCGAAACTCAGCTGCTGGGGGCCCTGGAGGTGCAAAGGTCCAGCCCCGCAGGCAGTGAGCCAAGCCCTGAACACAGCAGTGTGACCTCATACTGCACTGCAGCCGTTATAGAACGCTTGAGACACGGACCTCGTCTGAGCACACACGAGCTGGCAGACGGGGGTTCCCTCAGTGAGCTTATGAGTGACGCAGCTTATTCAGTGAAAGGAAGGGCAGCCTCCACATTAAGGCCACACCCAGGAACCGGCTTAAATGTCCAGAAAATTCTCGGGTACCACTGGGCTTCCCAAACCCCCTCCAAACTAGTATCGTCACTGCTGTCAGCACGCACACGGAGACAGACATGCGGGGGAAGCTGGTGTTGGGGGTCTCTCTCCATGTATCAGTGTCTGTGGGGCCTGGAGGAGACGGGGAAGCCGTGGGGGCCGGCCAGGCACAGGGAGGCTGAGGCTGTCAGGATGTTTGTGGACTCTGCTCTCCTCCTTCTGTGGGGGATCCTTCATCCCCACAGTGGGAAGCCCAGCCTGGCCTGCCCTGTGCAGCGGGTGTGGGGACGAGAACCTGGCCCCATGAGAAATGGTCACAGCCTTGCCCAGCAGGAGCCCAGCCTGGATGAAGCCTCAGAACGTCGGGGTCTGAGCTCGCTGTGGGGGCTGTGCCCTATGGATGGTGACCCCTGCTGCTCCCCAACGTCGTGGCCCCCGGGGTTCTCTGCTCAGTCCTCTGAGGACAGCAGAGGTCATGCCTGGTGGATGCTCCCCCGACTGCTTCTGGGGACCCAGAGGATGGGCTGGAAGGGTGCAGACACCCCGGGACCGGAGCTGCTGGCAGGCAGCTGTGTCCATTTGCCCCAACGGGCATGACACTGGCCCAGATAGGTCATGGTGCCAGGACTGCCAGGTTCCCCCAGGACAATCTGCTGCCCAACCCAAAGCCTTCACCCACCACAAGGTGGGCCATGAGCGCCCACACCCAGCAAGGCTTAGCAGCCTTGGGGCCTGTTTCTGAGGCTCCACTGGAACCTGGTAGGGGAGACGTTCTCCAGCGCGTGGGCTGTACCCTCCCTCAGCCACATCCCAGATGCACAGCAGCCCAGCTGGGCCACTAAGTAAGGGCCTCCAAAGACTTCCACGCCCCAGCACGGGAGCCTGCGAGGGTGACCTGAAGTGGCAAAGAAGGACTCTGCAGACGGGACTGAGTTAAGGGTCTTGTGAGGAGGTCATTCTGGACTTGGGGTGGGCCTTAAGTTCAATGACTGGTGTCCCTATAAATAGAGCGGCTACAGGAAGACGGAGGAGAGAGCGGAAGATGCAGCCACAGCAAGGGACATGGCAGCCACCAGGGTGGGAAGAGGCCGGAAGCTGCCCTGGAGCCCCTGGAGGGACTGTGGCCCCGCTGACCCCGATCCCAGACCTCTGGCCTCCACTGAGAGCCAGCCTGCAGGGGCAGCCCTGGGAAGTGAGCGTGGCAGGGAGGGGCTGGCCCAGCTGGGCGGGCGCCCCGGTTTCAGCAGAGGGCCAACGCGGTCTCGGGGTCGCCCACGATGTCCCTGTGAACCAGCTTAAAGGTGTCAATGAACAGCTCCATCCAGTCCTGCCGCTCTACCCCGGTGGCGAACTTGGCCCGCTCGGCGGTGTAGACCAGCACGGCCACCAGCTGGGAGTAGGCGGCCGGGTCCTGCGTGAGCTCCGTGGCGTTTAGCAACTGTTGGATCAGGGGGATGGTCCTGGGGAAGGTGGCGTCCGGCCCCTCTTCCGTGCGGAGGAAGGTGACCGGGGACTCGCCGCCAGGCCACGGTGCATCTGCAAGGGAGCGTCCAGAGAAGACTTTAAGGCCTGTGGCGGGCGTGGGCCTAAAGCTCCTCCTCGGGCGGCCGCTCGGCGAGGCCAGAGTGAAGAGAGGCACTTGGGCCGGCAAGTCGGTGGAGATGCAAGTGGAGTGGTGTGTGGCTCGGCCTTGGCAGGAGGCGTGGGGGCGGTGAGCACGGGGACGGGGAGCTGGCAGGGAGCTAGGAGAGGAGACCCACACGGCAGCACCTTTGGGGGACACCACGGACCCCGAGAAAACCTTTCAGCACAAAACAGCTCCGTCCAAACCTGCGTCAAGAGACGTGCCAAACGCCAGCAGGGCTTCCAGTGCCGCCGGCCCCGCTGCCAGGGAGACCCCAGCCACCCTTCAAGAGCCTGCCTAGGAAAGCTTGCGGTGGCAACCCCTTCCTCAGCCTCTCTGGGATGTGTCCTCTACACCCAGAACGGTCTTCCCCTGAGCAGACCTGGCCTCTGCCTTTTCCTTCCACCGAGTGGAGCTCAGGTCACGCTGCGGCCCCCATGCAGCTCTTATCGCTGAGTGGGCTCTGCCCTGGCTGCCTTCTGCTGCCTCCGGTTTGTTTCACCGGCACCCTCTGGTCCCCACGCAACTGAGACCTCCACAGGCCTGGTGCAGGCCCAGGGTGGCTGGGCTTGAGGGTGGACAGGGCTGTGTGGAGAAGGCCAGGGCCAGGCCACAGCCAGTGGCGTCCACCCAGTGCTCAGGAGAGCCGAGGAGGATGCCTGGCCGTGCGGGCTGGTGAAGGCTGATTTAACACTGTCCCTGCTGTATCTCCTGGAGCCACAAGGTCGAGTTCACTTTGAAATTGCAAACAGCTTGAAAGGAGGATGAGCTCTGAGTGTCATGGACGGGGTGTCAGGGAGCCGAGAGGAGGGGAGGGTTCTGGGGGGCTGCTCCCAGTCACTGTCAGGTCCTGGAGGCCTCAGAGGAGGCCAGAGCTTCAAGGGCCCACGTGTCCTCCCTGGCTGCCTTCCCTGTGGTGCTCTGGTGGCCTGAGTGACCCACTCCCAGGAGGGAGAACTGGCTCACCCCACGTCACCATCTTGGCCCTACGAGGCCCACATCACCCTGAGGCCAGAACCAGAGACATCATAAGGAAGGAAAAGTGCAGGCCAATATCCCTGATGAGCACAAACCCTCAGGCAGGCATCAGCAAATCAGGGCCCACACGCATGAACAGGGCCACACACCACGGCCAGGTGGGTTCATCCCAGGCGTGCAAGGCTGGCTCAGCATCGGAAATTCAATGAGGCTCAACGGGTTCACTCTCAATCACAATGGCAAGCTAAAGACGAAAGGTCATGTGACATCCACAGACGCAGAGAAAGGCCCTGACAAGACGCAGCGCCCACTCACGATAGAACCCGGGGTGGAGGGGAGGCCGCAGCGCCCACTCACGAGAGAACCCGGAGTGGAGAGGAGGCCGCAGCGCCCACTCACGCTGGCCCCCGGGGTGGAGGGGAGGGGAAGACCTCCATCTGGTAGAGAGCAAAGCGCCCACAGTGAACATTGCCGTGTCGCCCATCATGGGGTCCTGAGACTTCCCTGCCCCATCAGGGACGAAGGGCTGGGTGGAGGGGCCAAGGTCTGGTTCCTGCCCTCAGGGTCCAGCTGCCCCTGGTGCTGGTGCAGGCCCTGGCAGACCCTGAGAGGGGACGCCCACACCTCAGCAGCAGAGGCACAGCCCACTGTGTTGTGGGACCAGAGGCTGCCTACCTGCTGAAGGGCAGCCAGACGCAGGTGCAACCTCCAGGTTCTCTGTCGGAGCACGTGTGGGGATCCCTGGCCCCGAGTCCATGGCCCTGCTCCTCCCTGGGGCAGCCTCAGGACCCGTGAATGTGGCCCAGCGCACCCCCCGGGAGTTCCCCATGGAACGCCTGAACGCACACCCTGACCCCTGTCTCTTATACACATCTAGATGTGTATAAGAGACAGGGGGTCACTGGGGGGTCGCTGGGGAGGGGACTCTGGGGGATGCTGGAAGTGAGGGTGGGTGGAAGGAGGAGGACCCTGAGCCAGCCGTCCCCTTCAGGAAGGTGGGGGTGGTGCTCATGGCTGGGGCCAAGTTGCCTGGCATCCTCCCGTACTCTCAGATGCACACGCTCAGCCTCAGGGCCCCTCCCTGCCTCTGCCCAGCTGCTGCGGGCTTCGGGACGGTGATACTCACAGGCTCTCCTTTCTCTCCTTTCCTCCCAGGTTCTCCTTTCAAGCCAAAGTCGCCTCGGCCGCCCTGTGACAGGGGACACACGTTAGCCTAGGACAGATGATTTATCTCTACCAGGGACACCAGTGAGATTTTTACGTGGAAAAATCAATCTGGCATTTTGGGATCATTTAAATGGGAATATCTATGTGGTTTTTTGGCAAAGCCTGAACTTTGGTTGGAAAGGGACCAGCCAGTGGCCGGTGGCTCCCTCAGAGCTCAGCAGAAGTGTCATGGCTGGACCTTGGGGAGCCAGGACCATCCCAAGACAGGGATGGTCCTATCAGTGACGGTGGGCGCTGTGTTCCCAGCAGTAGTGGGTGGGCATGCAGACCCCCACCCCGGGTGGGCACAGGTGGCCACAGGACCCACATGTACCTCGGGGCCGCGTGGGCCGGGCTCGCCTTTGTCTCCCTGTGAAGCAAACAGAAGTCAGGGTGACTCAGCCTCAGGTCCGGTGCTCCTTCCTCCCTCTGGGCAGCTTTCTGCAGCCGTTTCCCTCCTTGGCTTATGCACACTCTGGGTGAGGCCACTGTGCTGCGTTCTGAGCCACACTCTTCTCCTGATGCTGCGCTGGACCTGTCCTTCGCTGAGTCACCCAGAGCCTTCTCACCACTCCGTCCCGTAGGAGGGACCTCACACTTTCTTCTGCACAGAGGAGGCCTTGAGGGAACTACTAGGAACCTTCAGGGCCCTTGGGAC